CTTTGTTCTACGATTATCAATCTTGTTCTACTTTTTTCAGCATATTGAAAACGTTTCTGGTAAAGGTATTTGTTCTTGTCTTAAACGAGCAATTCGTCTCTTCGCTGTAACTCATGTTGTCTGTTCCCATGAACAAAAAACGTTTGTGCAAAATAGTGTTTCAATACGCAGTTTCAGAAAGAAAAGGCTATTTTTGCGTTGAACTGGATTGTTTTTTTTATTACGTCCCATTCAAATGCGTCAGCTTTTATTTTTAACACAGTTTTTCAATTTAAAATGCTACTTAAAAACACCGTTTAAATGCATTTATAAGAAACATGTTTGTTGTTCCCAATCAACGCTACCTAACATAACGTTTCAACGCATTTTTTTTGACAGGCAACTAGATAAATATACACATTCATTTTCTGAGTAAAAATGTCGCTTTATGAATTAAAGTGTGTTAACATTTATGTAAACATTTTGCAGCATCAGACTCAAAAATATATTGCTTAAGTAGTTATGGTATAGAGATAAATTTTATGAGTATTATGTAATAGTATGTATTTTAATATTATGAAATAAGCAAATATTTGCGAAATAAGAAAAACAAAGGTGCAAATGAATTAGAATAAGGTTAATCTGACTTAAAAATTTCTTAGCTAAATTGGAAAAGTTATAGATAAGATGATATAAGGATAATAACTCAGTTGAATTTTTTTGCGTGCAATGAATGATTCGACATACGTTGCCCTCTCTAATTTTCGACAAAGTTTCTAATGATCCATAGATAGATTACTATTTTTTTTATGACAAGTTCGATTCATTCAAAGATGTTAGATTTGAAAATTATGAAAAAGTTCGTGATTTTATCGCCTGAAACAAACGCTTGAACACGCATAGCATTCATTCAACGAATAATGCTCTTGAATCTACATAAAGCAAAGAAAAAACATTTTAGCACGCTCTTTACTGTTTGAATTTCTCGTGGAAAACAAATTATTGGGAATATCTAAACTGTGGTTTCAATACATCTACAAGTGAACTACAAGGTTGAGATGCGAACATTTTTCCGAACTCCAATGTTTTAGTTTTTATTAGACAAAAACATTTCCTCTAGCGGATAACGGTTTAGCACACTTTTAATATTGAACTGCTTTTTTCATTTTTTTACGCTAGTTGAAAATTGTTCTATGTATCATTCGGTGCAGAAATCGAAAGGCTACATTTTGGCAAGGAAGTACTTATTCTTATATTGCAAAACTAGTAGGAAGTACTTTTTGCAAAAATGTAGCCCGTTGATTTCTGTACCGGATGTCATATAAAACAATTTTCAACCAGCGTAAAATAATGAAAAAAAGCAGTTAAATCCTAAAAGTGTTAAATTTTTTCCTCCACTTTAGCTTCTTTCTTTTTCTCTAAACGCAATTTGCGACCAATTCAAATAGTAACCATAACATTTTATTCTGTTTGTTTCTTTTTTCCATCTTTTTATATATTTTCCTGAATTCTGTTCCTCCAACAATTAAATTCATGTATTGTAAAAACATGTTATTCGCTTCCTTTCATGTCCATTTTATTGGACAGATGAATTTACAATGTCATAATGAAGTTGACAGACGGAGGCTCCGATATGATTAGAAATTTTTAAGCTCGTATTTTGCCTACTGATGGGAAACTTTTAGATTAGAACTAGCTGCAAAAGGTTCATGCTGGCGTTAAGATGTGACCGAGATATTGATTTTTTTAGCGAATTTTCTCTGTTTGTACCTAATTTTTCGATCAAATCCGATTATCGAGTTTTGACTCAAGAATATTGCGTAGATGAAGATCTCAGCGAGACTACCTAATGCACAAAGTTTCAAAAGTTTCCGATCGAGTGTCTCTATGATATAAATCTTCCAAACTATACATTTTTACACGTTATGAAGAGAAAAGCCGCCTGAAGTCTGACAAAATGCATATCTCAGAGGCATTCAATCAAAAACTTCTGAAATTTTATACATAACCTAGTCTGACTGGGATCTTCATCTGGGAAAAGTTTTGAATCCAAAACTCAATAATAGGATTTCATCGTAAACTTGGATTCATACAGAGAAAACTTTCTACAAAGGCCATATCTTTGCCAAATTTTAAAGTCAGCACAAACCATTCGGAGCTGATTTGTAAACTATAAGTCTCTTACCAGTGAGTAAAACATAGGCTCAAAAGCTGTTAATCATCTCGAGACTTTTCTCATTAGTAGACGTTATAGAAAACGTAGATGCGCCTTCCTCCCATTGGTTTAGTAATGCTCGACACGGTTGTTGTTCTTACAAGTCCTATGTAGATCTGTAGCAAACACCAATAAATTCTTTCTATGGTATGAGCATGAGTGTGGATGCACAAACGAGTCAGACATTCACTGTCAATTCTGTTCGATACCTACATGCACAGCCACACCTGTAACCCACATCGACATGCTGAGTATTCAAGTTTCTATACTGCACTTTGGTAATTTCCAACATTTGAACTGTCACAAGAATATATTTCGATAATTTTACTTTCAATATTTTTTACGTTTCGACTTTTTAACATTTTGACATTCTTATCGTATAATATTAACACTTTTGCATTCACACTTTCTACACTTTTCTTTCTAGATATTTAGTTTTTGTGTTTTTAATTTCCGCATCTCTTCTTTCGACATTAGTTGAGAGAATTAAGATAAATAAAACAGATATCTGTAATGAATTGTTGTATCTTATAACTTCTTGCAATGTCATCGACTACAGAACAAGTCATCTGGAATATCCTTCATCTTTACATCATATACGCATATTCAATTATTTCAATAGCTGGACTTATTGGCAATGTTTGTAATATTATCATTTTTATGAGTCTAAAAAAGTTTAGAAAATGTCCTGGTGCATTCTATATTATTGCTGAATCCATGACTGACATCGGTGTTTTGATCAGTGGTTCAGTGTTAAGAGATATTGAAGAAATATTTAACCTCGACTCAGATCAAATAGCGTTCATCTGGTGTAGAGTGCGATATCCAATCACCCAATGGTGTCTATTGGTAGTCCTATCTTTGGTTAATTTTGCAGTGATCGATCAATATTTTTCTACGAATTGTAATCCTCGCATACGACCATTAAGTACTATCAAATTAGCGAAATATCTGACTGCTATTGCAGTCATTATTTGGTTTTTCTACTATATTCTGTTCGCCTTCTTTTTGGATATAAAAGTCACATTTGGTTGTCTTTTCAGCAACATGGCTTTAGTTCAATACTATTCATTTTTTCATTTGCCTATTCTACATGGAATCTTACCAATTGTTCTAGCATCTACATTCAGTATAATGGCCTTTCGAAATGTTCGACGTATTCATCGACAACAAATGAGCAATACTCGACGAAGACTTGATCAACAACTAACAGCTATGATTCTTGCTCGAGTGATACTTTTTGTTCTTTGTCTTTTACCTTATATTGCACAACGATTCTACACTATGAATGTACGGTATCCTAAAAATAAAACACTTCAAAAAGCTCTTGAGCTACTCATCACAGCCATCAACATGTCGATTAGCTATCTCAATGTTTCGGTATGTCACTTGATTTATTCTTGTGATTCTTTTAATGCCACTCACTTTTGAAAATTTGTAGGGTACATTCTATGTATATTTGATCTCATCGACGCGATTTCGTCGTCAAGCAAAATTTGTTCTGATGAAAAAATGCTGGAAATATCTTCGGGAGGCGTCAAAGAATTGTCGTCGACCATCCATGAATAATCAAGTAGCACCAATCGCGAATAACGATGTCAACTATTAAGACTATTGAAAATAGGAAAAACAATCATTACGAACAATTATGATTGTTCAGATCTAAAAATATTTTTTATATCTTTTAGTGTCAATCCAAATATATCATGTTGAATGAGTTCTAATGCAATTTGAAAAGAAATAAAGAACTTACATGGATTTCTTCTGAATCTGATTAGAAAAGATATCACCGCGTAAGAAGTCATTTATTCAGCTTCTAGAGATAGATGTGTCGAAAAGAGTTCATGAATCTTCGAGGAGAGTGATATGAATGTATAGTTTCAATTCAGATGACATGCTCTGTTGAATAATAAAATTTGTTTGATAAACAAAAGAACAACGCAGTATTTGACAACATGACGTACTCTTTTCCAGCTGGCTTAATGTAATTGCATCGATCGAACCTGATATTGGGTGTGTGAAGATGAAAATGAAGTGAATATCTTCAACAATATCAATTTTTGAGCATATTCAAACTGTAATTCTTCATTCTCGTTGTTTTTATTTATTGAATGTTTGGTTGTCACTTAATTCATTACGATAATCTATTTAGTGATATTCATTCATAGAACATTGTATTTCAACATTATTTGATGGTAATACATTAGATGAATGAATCTCTGATAACTGAATTTCTAATTCACAATATTTTTTTTCCAATCAATGTATACACGTCCTAAGTCTTCATCAACATATAAATAGATTGAGCTGAACTATTATCAAGAATTGAAATTTCAAGTTTATAGAAATATAAGATTTCAAATCAGAAAAAGAAATCGACTTTTTTTTAATAATCAATGTAATGTTGATCTAATTGAACTCTATAAGAACTTAAGGGTATGGGTTGGTACATGTTAGTTGATGTTGAATTCTGTGTACACATAAAATCACATCGCTATCCAAACGAACAGACTCACTTCGCATGCATACACTAACACCCACTCAGTCTGAAATATATATATGTATATATAGTGACTGTTTGAAACATAAACTGATCATTTATTATCCATGAATCAGATCTACTCTCCTGTTAACAATATTCAGCAAACAACAATGAAGAACTACCAGCAAAAACGAAAGTTATCAAGAATGCGTCATCATAATCAAACTGTTCATGAACTAAAAAAAAGGAAGTGACATTAAAGGCCAACAATATGTGTACGCATATGCTTGTTTTTGTTCTTACATGATGGTATTTTGTTTTTTTTTATGAGACAGCTGGTTTATTTGCTGTGTGTTTAGCTACACAAAGTTGTTTGGCTTGATGAGCTTGTAGTACAGCAATAGCTTCTTCAACCTAATATAAAGCATGAAAATAATTTCCGTTGAAAATTTTTATCAAATAAAATAGACCTTAGCTTGAACTGATTCAGGTGATTCTAGCGTATGAGATTCAGGATTATCAATTTCGAGAAGCATATCAGTTATTTTATCAGCTAATTCGAGTTGCATTTGTTGAATCAATGAAGATAAATGTTCATCTAACATTTGTTTTTGTTCTTTTTGTGTTGCATTAGCAAGACCATCTGTTGTTAATGATTCTTGTTTAGCGATTACAATTGAATTTGGAAATTCATCTGGATTCTAAAAAAATAACCAATTTAATTTTGTTTTCAATCCTCTTGATTTTTTATCTAATACTTACGCTAAATGGCATATTTATTTCCATGTGAGTATTAGCTGTCTTTTGTTGTGATTGTGCACCAACTTGTGATCGAACAAAATTGCTAGGCATCATTTGCTCTTGTGTTGGTTTTAGCATCTCTGATTGTTGAACAGCAAGCATAGCTGATTGTGGCATTTGCTTATCAATGATCTCAGCATTTGTTGTTGGTTTCATAAGTGATTGTAATGGATCCAACGGTACTTGTACATAGGGCATCATATTATTCATTTCATTTGAAAATGGTAATGATATTGGCGGTAATGCACGTGATATTGCTATACGTTGCTTATGTTGGTTAATTACATGCGTACGACGTTCTTGTTTTCGTTCTGCTAATGCAACATAAAGTGTTCTGGAACCCATAATGGATCCATTCACTTCTGCTACAGCTTTTTTTGCTTCATCAGATTCACTAAAACATACAAAACCAAAACCTTTTGATCGACCATTTTTTGACATAACCTAAATAAAGAAAAATGATTATTCTAAAAAATAAAGAACAATCTAATAAAACTTACTTTAACACTTGTAATAATTCCAAATTTAGAAAATTCCTTTTTTAATTGTTCATCATCAATAGTATCATCCAAATTTTTAATATATAAGTTAACTCCTTGATATTTATTCATACGTTTTATTTCAGATAGGCGTTGATTTTTATTTTGAAAACGATCAACATAAAGTTGTTTATCACCTATTGAATATCCGTTTAAATTTTGAACAGCCTATAAAATTAAAAATCTAATTAAAAAAATGACTTATTTATTTCTTTACTTCTTCAGCATCTTCTGAATTTTCATAACGACAAAATCCAAAACCTTTTGAATGTCCACTTTCATCTTTTTCAATCTAAAATAGATAAATTTTAGTTGTTTTTTATTTTTTTTGTATTAGCAAACATTTTATAGTTTACCTTCAAACTTAAAATTTCTCCATATTTTGAAAAAAGTTCACGTAATTTTTCTTCATCTAATTCATCACCGAAATTTTTTATAAATACATTAGTGAATTTCCATGGTTTATTAGCATCCATTTGTTGATTATGTGACTTAATACGATCGACATAAACTTTTTTATTAGCTAATAACATACCATTGACTTTATCAATAGCATTATCTGCTTCTTCTTGCGTTTCAAAATGAACAAAACCAAAACCTCTTGATTTACCATTTTTGTCTGTCATTATCTATTAATAAAATAAAAGCAAAAAACAAAACAAGAAATAAGAATTATTTTATGTAACGCATGAATAATTTTACTTTGCAAGATAAGATATTACCAAAAGCCGAAAAAGTATCGTAAAGAAATTTATTATCAATTTTTCTATTCAAGTTTTTAATAAATACATTTCCAACATCTGATTCACGTAGAGTTGAATCACGATGAGACCACATAATACATAATGGACGACCACAAAGTAAATCAAAGTTCATTGTATCAAGTGCACGCTTAGCTAACAAGATAAAATATTTTTGTTTATTAAGGAATATCATTTATGAAAATCAGTTCTACTGGATTTTGGTAATGTCCTACAACTCGAGAAATAAATAAAACACTCATTTTTTCCTCTTCTTCAATTGTGATTCCATTCGATCATAGAGGGTCGCGTTCACTTGACCGACATTCACTTGGCCGACACATCACTTGACCGACACCACTTAACCGACAGATTGTTTGGCCGACAGGTACACTTGACCGACAAATTGTTTGGCCGACAGGTACACTTGGCCGACAATTTATTTTGCCGACAAAAATTTGAAGTCAAAAAAAATTTTAATTTATTGTAGAATGCATTTTGCAAAAGATATTACCGATGGAACTCAAAGAATTTTGCTTTTCACAACAAGTGAAAATCTTAAATGGCTGCAGGAAGCGAAATTTTGGATTATGGATGGAACATTTAAAACTGTTCCAACACTTTTTCGTCAGTTATACAGCATTCACGCGCCTGCAGGCGGAAGTGTTAACTTCCGAATTGTTCCACTGGTTTACGCACTGATGACTATGAAAAGCGAAGAATTATATCAAAGATTATTTCAGGAATTAAATGAAGCGGCAGAAGAACATGGGTTGGAATTAAAACCAGATTTTGTGTTAACTGATTTTGAAAAAGGTTCAATCAATGCAGTAAAATCAGAATTTTCAAGTGCTCAAAGTAAAGGCTGTCATTTTCACTTAGGGCAAGCTGTATACAGACAAGTTCAAGATGCAGGATTGACGCAAAAATACGGAACTGACGAAAAATTTAGTCTTCTTATCAGACATATTCCGGCTTTAGCTTTTTTAAGTCCTTTGGAAATTCCTGATGCTTTCGACGAAGTGAAAGCTTTACTACCTTCCGATGCTGAACCGATAGTTCAATGGTTTGAAAATAACTATGTACATGGAAGAATCAAAAGAACATTAAGAAATGGCACAATTAAAAGACATAATCCATTATTTCCACCAGAAATGTGGTCTGTCTTCGATAACATGGAATTTGCATTTCCAAGAACTCAAAACAAGGTTGAAGCCTGGCATAGACGCTGGGAAATATTAATTGCTCGATCTCATGTGGGTATTTTCACTATGATTAAACAGATTCAAAAAGAACAGAACGAAGTTGAAATGGAAATTGAAAAATCAATGCGTGGAGAACCAGCTCCAAAGAAGCGCAAAGAAGATGAAAACAGAGAATTTAGAATTCAAAATGTCATTGCTGATCGCGGTAATAGATCAACTATCGATTTTCTTCGGGGCATTGCCCATAATCTTTCACTATAAATATTTGTAATCTTTATTAAAAGTGTTTGAAAACTCCAAGAAAAGAAAGAATTTTGTAAAAAAAATAAATTAGCTTTTATATCGTAATAATAAATTTTTGTCGGCAAAATAAATTGTCGGCCAAGTGTACCTGTCGGCCAAACAATTTGTCGGTCAAGTGTACCTGTCGGCCAAACAATCTGTCGGTTAAGTGGTGTCGGTCAAGTGATGTGTCGGCCAAGTGAATGTCGGCCAAGTGAGCCAGACCCATCATAGATATCATCTCATGAATAAAACTAATAATGTTTGACATACCATCAGCTGATTTTTCAAAATTAACATAAGCATAGCCAAATGATTGTCGTGCAGTCATATCATGACAGACTCGAATTGATTGAATTGGTCCAACACTTGCAAATTTGTTGAACAACATAACCTCGGTAACATTTGGATGAAGATCACCTTTGATTTATTTAGAAATTTAATACAAAAAACAACAATATTGAAACTTACCAACATATAATGATGCCTCATAATTACTTGGAGCTTCTGCTGCCATAAACACTATTTTTTTTTGTTTCTTCGATATTTTTTGTGTTTTCTTAAGGGTTGAATAAAGCTGATAGCGTAGTTAACGTATTTTCTGCTTTCGAAAAAGATATGATGCTACTTAAGTTTACAAGAAGGTAAAATTTCGTAGTTTTTTCGTTGTTGTTTTTTGTAGTAAAATGAGACTACGCACGTGGATACACACAACTAAAAACAGTCTGTAATGAAGTGAAGGAAGAAGAAATTTTGGTCAGCATGAGTAAACACGAACATGATGATGTAAAATGCGTATCATCGTCGATATGGTTGTAGGTGACAACCAAGGAATAAAAAATCGAAAAACTTCCATTTCAATGATTGGTTTGAAAATTTTTAGTAGTTTTGCATCATTTTCATTACAAGACTTTGATAGTACATGATAAGAATGATGAAGTTAAACTTCATTCACGTATATATCCTCAGATAAACTACTTTTCTCAAAAGGCTATATGTAAGGACCAATGTGATTTTTCCATAGTTCACGACCGATCCTCTCGAAAGGAATCATCTTCGACTTTTCGAAAAACACAGATAAAACTATATTAACTAAGTTAATCACTTTCAGTGCCGAATCTACATACAAATTGGCTGATATTAATGAAATGAATTTCTTTTTACATTTATCCATGTTTTAAAATCCATGAAAACGAATATTCGTTTCGTCAATAGAAATAACATATTTTTCATTTCCATCATTTTTTTTGCCATTTTTTATTCCATGTGCGGGAAGGTTTCAGTGGAAGATACAGATGTACTCTTCATCTACACCTATACCCAATTAAGTAGTTGTTGATTTATTTAATAATAGTTTTATCACAAATCTTTCTCCAATAGACTTAAACGTCTATTAGGCTTCGTTTACAAATACGATTTTATTTTTTCTATTCTCAAAAACAGTTTTACTGTGATTGCTTCATCTAGAAATATATTTATTGATGCTCAATATTTTCACTATTGTTTTATTTGAAAATTTTATTATACTATTGATTGATATATTCTCAATGGCACTGTAGAATATTTTCAAATTCCTCATCTTCAGTTTACACTTAATTATTCAACACTCTTGTTCTATGAGTTACGATTCCAAGGATCACGTTCATCATCGATAAAAAAAGAATAGTCGAACATTAATTCAACTTAGATATAATAATCAACGGTTTACAAGTCCATTAGAATTCTCGAGCCCCATCATGGGCATCTCAATATCATATGCCAAATATGCTTGCATTTTTTTGTCAGCTGATTTTCGCTCAATTGACGTTGAAATTTGAACAAATATTAGAAGAATAATTGATTTTGATGAATTATATATTACAGTAACACAACTTAATCTAAATTTACAATGAAACCCCATTCGATACAAAAGAATAAATATAAAATAGATTCGAACACAATTTCGAACAAGAGAAAGGACATGGATGTGGGTGTGCGTTCGTTTCTAGGTGTTAGTCTTATTCTAACCATCAAGCACACATCCACGCCCCTATTTTATATAGAAAGGACAATAAATAAAACTCCCACTAAAAGTGAATGAACACTCTGAAATTTAATAACTTCTAAGTCAACTAATGATCCATATGGGAGATTTTTTTTTTCATAACCTTTCAAATTAAAGAATTATTTAAATCGAAGAGAAAAATATTTTCACTCAAAGATTTGAACAGGTTTACTTGTTTTAGTATGATTAAAATATTAATTGATTGATCATTTATAACGAATTTCATAGTTTTTGAATCATTCTGTACAAATTAGATTTACTTTAAATCATTAGAAAATAAAATCAAATGTGATCTTTTACATATTCAACATCTTTTGATATTGCATCATCAGAGAATTTCTTTACTACCATCTGGTACATGGGCAACTTCTTCATTATGTTGAAAAAAGAGAAATGTAGATATACTTTTAATTGAATACTTAATAACTTCACTCTATCAGAATGAAAACAAATTAAATATGACGATGCATTTTTCAACATCAAGTTTAAGCAAGAAAACATTCAAATATTAATGGTTTGCATGTGCTCGATGTGAATGAAGAGAAAACCAACACCCAATGTATCATATGAGAAAATTCTCGATGACACTTCCATTATATGTTTTGGTGAAAAGAGAAATAATATATCATAGTATGGAACCAGAGACCAATATCAAATTAAGTACACATCTGTATGTTAGAGTGGCTACTAACAACCTCATCAATTGTCGACCGAAATAAGCAAAACAAGTCGTCATTACCTATCGTTGTTCTTTCGAAAGGTAGTTTGAAAAGCGAATATTTTCTATACGTAAGTCTGATCTTTTTTACTATCCTAAACAAATGATTGCAGGCATCTATTAATGAAACATTCGCAATATAATGAATAGGTAAGGTGTAATGTTCGAACAACAATGAATATCGATAGGAAACTTTTGTTTTAGTTTTCTGTGCAGACCTCGAGCGATATTTTTTGTTGGAAGCAAGAACCATACTTACAAACAAATTCAATACAACACAATAGCATCATATTGATGGAACGTATTGTTGACAATACGAAACACTTTCATAATTGTTATGCGTCCACAAATCAATTTATTTCCATATGCAATAAATTAAAACGAAAATATTTATATTAAAAACAAATTATACGGATCATTTCTCTCTATCACATACGTGAGCAAAATATTATTTATTTTCCGTTTTGATAATTTTAAAAATGACTAAAAGAAAGCATACAGACTTCTATGGTTTAGATCGTTTGATATCAAGTATGAAAGATTCCGTTAATAAAGTACATTACAATACAAAATATCAGGTGAGTCAAAATGATTGCAATATTGAGTATTTTGCAAAAATCTGAACACTGACAAATCCTATAATATGGATCTTTTTTGTAAAAAGATGCAAAGTGAAATTCTCTACCAGAATAGCAATGAAAACTCTCATTGAATTGTTTGAATGGTTTTCTAATAAAAAAAATACTGAAACACCATGTAATGATCGAATCTTCTTTTTGTTTCAAACCAGTCTTTGCATGATACTATACTTTATAAATAAAAGGCTTAAGTACAACAATATAAAAATCATAAATGCTCATGGAAAATATAATCATCATTATGTTGTTTAACTGTATGAACCCTTTAAAAATCGGAGCCAATCACTTGATGACAATCACTTAGATCAGTTTTTTGGCATGTTTCGTTTACTTTTTTTCTTCTACCATTTTCATGTTTTGAACTTTTGATAAACAATGTTTCTACTGACATGACTTTATATAGAATAATCAAATATATTCAAGTCTGATGAATGCGACGCTTTCAAATCTGAGGGTGGTACTTGACGCTTCTGAAGTATTTGTTTTTCCCACTGTTGTAATAAATAATAACGACATCATCGAGATGTTCATCTTGTGTCATTTAAAAAATTCATCAGCATAATTCACGAGATTCTTTCATGCCAAAGTATTAGAGTATTCCATGACGCATGCTCGAAAAGAAATGAGTTAATGTTTTATGATGTGGTGATAGTAATGAGATATATTCAAATGAATCAAAATTACTTTCATTTTTATTTCTCATAAAACTATGGGGTATTTGACCATCATGTCAAACTTCTTTTTTAGCCTTGTAAGAAAAATCATTAAAACGATTCAATGGGATTTATTTCCGTATCATGAGTGTACAGACAATAACCATAAAAAACTGTTTCTTGTGACGAAGTCATAATTATACATATATTTTCACCATGATTTAAAACAGATTATGTATGCTTAACGTTGTTTTCTGAAAAATACCTATCCTTTTAGGTATGAGAATATAAATACTAGCTTACTAGAACAATCTTCCCTCTATGTCTTGAAGATTGCAGCGATTTCACGATACAAGAAGCGATTGGTCGAGTATCGTTGATAAATCGAATTTAATCTATGGTTTCAGTCATTGATTGTAAATCACCAATGAACTAGAGATATATTTCAAGTCTGTATAATTGAGAGCTGAATAAAATTTCTACACAGTTTGTGAAATATAATCATAGGGATGTAAAAATTAAAAACAAAATAGTTTCAGTACGGAGATCACTCCTATGATATCAATGGTATGAGACATATTTAGAAGATAATCGAATTGAACTTCTCATTCACATTCATTTATATCAAAACATATTTTTGATAATAAAGGTTATTTCAGAAACCTTTTGAGTCCACGTAATTTTTCAATTAAACATCTGTTCTTTTTAGACTCAGCTTTAGATGTTAATTCTTGAATGCTGAATTAATGTAAATTTTAAAAAAAGTTGTTTTTCATCTATAAGATGACTTTTTCTATTGCAATTCTTTTAGTGCTACTTTTTAATTACTATTTCTACTTCCTGTGTTTTGAATATATAATTTATTAACAAGAAACACATATGCATGGAGCAACTTCAGATATAAATTCAATTTACAACATCAGTTTAAACAATGGAACATTTTGTTTTCTTTCTTTTTCAATTGTGTTCTTATTCAACATCGTGGAACTGCACGCCATATTGGTTTTTTTTTAAAGTTTAATTACAAGTTTTATTCATCTAGAAGAGAACTACCGTTTATTGAGAGGATGATGGGGGCTTTCCATTGTCAAAGGTTGGTAACTTTTTGTGACAAATTTTTACACTCTTATGAAAAATCGTAGCAGACAGAAAATTTTAGTGGCTTTCGCTGGGTGTCTAGAAGATAATCATGTAAAGACCCTTTTTTGAGATAAAAATGTCACAGAAAGTCGACGATATCAGGATGTTCTGTTTGATATCTGCCAGAAGGATAAAATGAACATAGTTTTCGCCCAATTGTCAGCTCCTTTTATCGTCAAAAGTAATCTTTTATGTTGTTTCAACTTACGATTATAGTTTCGATATGTCACGATTAATCCTCAATTTCTAAGGAGTTCGGAGGACATGTGCGTGTGTTGGTTGAAATCGGCAACAAAATTCTTCGGATCAGAGGCTCTAACTAGA